CCTTGTGGGTTGAAAGTGATCAAATATTGATGATCTCATAAGGATCAAACTGATACTTAACAGAATTTGAAATTATATTTTCAATTGTGCTTATTTGTTGAATGTCTGTCTCTATGGCTAGATGGTAGACTCCAGAGCCAGACAACTTGGGTTCATAAATCAGCTCTATTAGCTGTGTGACCCTGGACCAGTAACTTTACCTCTCAGATTTTGTTTCCTTGTCTCACAATACTCCAGAGAGTTACTGTGACCATTACATGAGTTTATAATATATCGATGATTGAAATGGTATCTTGGTGGGGGGGTTCCCTGTTGGCGCAGTAGTTGAGAGTTCGCCTGCCGATGCAGGGGACACAGGTTCGTGCCCCGGTCCGGGAGGATCCCACATGCCGCGGAGCGCTGGGCTCGTGAGCCATGGCCGCTGAGCCTGCGCGTCCAGAGCCTGTGCTCTGCAACGGGAGGGGCCCCAACAGTGAGAGGCCCGCGTACCGCAAAACAAAAAAATCAGAAGTATGTACGTTCTGCTATGAAATGGTGTCTGGGATGTAGTAAGTGCTACTCAAATATTAGCTATCATTATTATTATCACGATCATCAGTCATTTACTGCTGTCATCAGCGTCACCACCGCTTCCAAATGTCTATGTTAAATGTGAAGAATGAGGAAAGTAATCCTAGAGCTAGAAATTGGAAGCGACTCCCTTTCATTAGATTCCAGTTTTTTAGTCCTCTTCCCTTAAGTTCAATAACTAATCCTAGAAGGATGTTTTCTCAGCCCTTGAAACCTGCTCATATAGTATTGAAGTCCCATTTCTGAATTATGCGAAATATCTGCAGTAAATGAAAGCGAGTTATGTAGGTTTTTTTAAAAAAAAACAAAAACAAAATATCAACAGCCTTTCATAAAGCATTGATTTACAACCAAAAAAAAAAAAAAGCAACTTCCTATATGGGATGCAGTTTCGTCATCTCCCAAGTGAATTGTGAGAAAAACCCTTACCGCTAGCTCTAGTATTCTCCTTTTCTATGAAACTAACAAATACAATTTGCCTCAGCATATAACTCTTCCCTAATCAAGCAAACAACCTCTACTTCAAAATCCAATGGCACATTATCCCACTGCCTTTTTTCACACAGGATTCTTGATTTTCACTGGATACTCATCATGTCAATATGGTATCCACCTTTAGTAGCGGCAAAGCTTCCCGATGGTATTCACCTGCATGCAGGAACCTTCCTTATCCTCCCCATAGCACAATTCCTCAGGTTAGGGCCACTAGTCTAGCGCAGAAGAGCGGAATTTACAAAATAGATGGGATCCCTTGTCTTCAAGTATCTCATTCTTGAGATAACTATTTTAATGTTCATTCATTAGCTTTCTCATAACATTTATAATATCTCACAATGATTAATAATAAAAGCTACCACTGATCAAGAATTGATGTGCCAGGTACCGTCCTAAGCATTCTAAGTATATTCTCTCAGTTACCCAACCATCTATCTACACATATATACATGACTGTATACACACACATATCTATAGGTATACTTCTATATACATATGTGTACGTGTATATATATACATAAAACTATACCAAAAAATATATATATATATAAAACTATACACATATATATATATATATATATATATATATATATACACATACAACTATACCACTATTAAGCCCATTTTACAGAAGAAACTGAGAATCAGAAAGAATCATCCAAGGCCACATAGTTTATGTCAGAGGCTGAATTGGAGCTCGATCCTTCTGCATTTTTAACCACTTTCAGTTCAGTGTTTATGGTCTCCAAAAAGCAATGTACCCAAGAAGCTTTTTTCAAAAGTGCAAAATAAGCAGTTTGATATCTTGTAAACAGGATTTAGAGAAAAGTGTCCCGGGTCCCTTCCCGGTCCTGCTGATTGATGGTGGGATATGCCATCTTGAGCAAAATACTCGTCTTCCCCTGAGACCTCAATTTCCTCTTGTAGAATGAAGGGTTTAGAGCAGATAATCCCTAAGGTTTCTTTTGGCTCTAAAGAGAAATGATTTGCTTCGGAAAGGCATTGTTTCTACAATGAGGATAAATTCCCAGAATGCCAACTCTTCTTAATGAAAGGTAACATCCTCTCCTGAAGCAATAAAATAACTATCTTCTAGTCATCCTGCAGATCTTGGTTTAGAGAGTACAATATTAGTCTAACCTTCTCTGCAGTCCCTTCTTCATACTGCACTTCACAGTTTGTGATTACAAATTGATTTGTGAAGTTAGATTGTAAGTTCTAAGAAGGTAGGTACCATGTCTGTCTGTTCACCACTGAACACCTACCTGCACATTGAACTACCGAACCACTGGCACAGAGAAAGTGCTCAGGAACATTTGTCAGCTAAATGGATTTTAAAAGGGGCTCACAGCTGCTAGGTTTTCAGTACTGGATGATTTAGAGCAAATATTTCTTTCTGCCTTTCCAAAAGATAAGAGTCTAGTAATGAGTCTTTCATGTCATCAGAAGGCTATAATTTATTTTCTCTTAGCTGGTACCATGAAGGAGAAGCCAGTGATGAACACTGCCTCCCAAAAGTGTGAAAATCACAACTCAGAGTTCCAATACCACTTTCTCTAACCCCTGAGAGACAAATATTGAAGATGACGATATCAACATTTATATCAGGGACTTTCTGGCGGTCCAATGGTTAAGACTCTGTGCTTCCACTGCAGGGAATGCGGGTTGGATCCCTGCTCGGGGAACTAAGATCCCACAAGCTGCGTGGCACAGCCAAAAAAACAAAAAACAAAAAAAACAAAAAACAGTTATATAAGTGAACTGGATCTAACTGCAATCCTGCATGTAAGGAAGGCTTACTAATTTAAGAGAAGGGATGGAAAAACGAATCCTTTTGTGCTTGGCGTTCTTGGCTGGAACCAGCAGCCAAAGTGCTGTTGTCCCCTCACTGCAGCTCCACTGACAGGCCCACCCAACTGTGTACATTTTACAGACGGACGGCTGTGCCTCTCTGCCTGCGATGCATGACTGGTAGCAGCCACAGCGACTTGGGTAACTGGGGGCAGTGGGTTTGTGAACTGCCCCCCTCTCTTCCTGCAGCTTATCCCCTGGGATGCAAGATTACAGTGCCCGGGAGCGGTGGAGGCCGGGTACAGCATGGCTGAGGCTGTTGGGCAGCCACACGGCAGTGGCTTGCTGGCAGCGAGCTCAGTCTAGGACCACACGGAAAGCAGACATGCTGACTACAGTGCAGCAAAGAAAACGAGAGCTTCTGCCTGTGTTCGGTGGGCTTGGACGGGAGAGGGAAGGAGGGGGCGTCGGGGAGAGTGCCAAGCTGGGCTGTTCATGAAAGTGTGGGAAGATTCAAGGGGAGGCATTTTGCCAACTCAGAGGCAGTTGGGCAGATCCCACCCTCCCTTTTTTCTGCTTAAATGAGAAATCCTGCTTGATGGAGTGGGAGCAGGGCCAAGAAAGGAATGATTCTGCTGGGCGAGCATGGATGCTCGGACCCGGGAAGGATGTCCGCCAGCTGGGATCAGGGCCAGTGGTGGGGGGAGGAGAAATCGAGGGAAGGGAGATGAGGGAGCAACACGAATGAAAGCAAGTGTCAGAGGCTGGGACTAGCAGACGCCAATGATTATATACAGCATGGACCAACAAGGTCCTACCGTAGAGCACAGGAAACTATAGTCAATATCCTGGGATAAACCACAGTGGAAAAGAACATTAAAAAAAAGAATGTATATATATTATAACTGAATCACTCTGCTGTACAGCAGAAACTAACGCAACACTGTAAATCAACTATACTTGAATTTAAAAAACAGAGTAAAAGTGAGTAAAAGAAGACCATGAGAAGAAATGTCCCACTAGGAGAAGAAAAGAGAGAAAGCCGGTCAGGTCAAAGACCTGGAAGGTTCACCCCTGGGAGAACCACGTTTCTGTGTTACAGGGCAGGCCCACCTACCTTCCGAACAGCAGAATAAAATAATGTTCATGTGAAACGAGCAGTGAAAGACCACACCGGCCAGTATAAAGTAAACCTACTGCCCCCAAATTCTCCTGGTGGGTATTAATTTCCATGGGAATACATTTTTCCCAAACAGCAAACCATGGAAGAGTTTTAAGTTCTAAAAGATGTGTTACCTTTCAAGTAAAACAGAGCAAACAAAATGCTATCACAGAGAAACCATATAGTACTTCTATATATTTGATATTTCCTAAAACATAATTTATTTTTTATCACAGCTAAAATATAATTTAGAACCCAAGAATTCTACGTTGTTCTTCTTGTCTTTCTAATATAGTATTAAAAACATGAAGATCCTGTGGTAAGAAAACCTAGAGGAGATAAAATTATACATGTCAAAGAAGTGAATTCCATTTTGAAGTGATGTCACTTTTAGAGCTTTCTAATGTCCCTTCGTGGAGACCTATGAAGAGCTAAAAGACCATCGGTTACATTTTTTGGTGACAATCCTACAAGTTACATGTGGCCTGAGGACCGGAATCCCACTGGCTGCAATCTCTTACAGAGGCTGAGGCATATTTTGGCGATTTGGCTATTGACTGATTACAAAGAAAAGGCCCCAAATCTTCCCCCTTCCCGGATCTGAACCTAGTCTTCAAGAGGCCATTCGTCCTCTTGGAGCTCTGCCCCTACCATGTAAACAAGCCTGGGTTGACTTCATGGGGTCTGAGAGGGCATATAAAGGACAGTCTAGTAGTCCTAGACAAGCCCTTTTAGACCAGCCTCCAGCGAGCTGATCCCCAAACAGGTGAGAGAACTCAGGTAAGAACAGCGGGGCAGCCAACCCTACTCACAGCCAATGACAAATGCTTGAGCCAACACAGCTGAGACCAAAAGTGCTGCCCAAGCGATCCACAGACTCATGAGCAGTACCAAATACTTAGTGTTTACTCATGGAGTATGTGGACTGATTCCTGCACAAGAAAAGACAACGGCTACAGTTACACACAGACTGGGCACTCACCTGTGCATTCGTACTGTAGACCTTTTCCGTAATACCCCTTCTCACAGATGCACTCAAATTGACCCGTGTGTGTCCCACATTTGCAGCTTGCCATCTGGTCACAGCAGTCTTTGCCGGCTTCACACAGATATGAGCAATGGGACATATCCTCTTGAATAAAACTCCCAGAAGGCAGATCTACCAAGCACATATGACAGGGGGTCATAAAAAAAAAAATGAATGAGCGGTTGAATGTTACATTCTCTCGTTACCACAACTGAAGCTCAAGACAGAGAAGATATCTTTTCATTTCCATCAAATTCCCAACTGCTCCCCACTCCCATCCAAATATGAAGGTGTGTGGTTTGCAGGACCACAGAGTGGGAATTTGATTCAGCTGGTTAAGCTATTTCAGTCTTGGACCTCATCATAAGTTCTCAAGGCCAGGCAGGGTCAGGCAGAAATTAAGTAGTTTCAGCGAGGAATCTCCAGATGCAGCAGGAAGTAATGTAGTCGGTTCTCCAGGTCAGTCCCCTGGCTTCCACACCAGCATGAGGTCAGGCAGCAGTAACCAGATTTCTAGAATCCTTGTTCAGATAAATAAATAAAGCTGCAATCCTGACTGCTGTCAAAGGGTGCTGATGGTGATTACTGATTTAAGAATAAATACCATTACTTCTATAATTATTTGATTAAAAACTGAAACAATGGCACCGCACAAGTTGAATAATAGAACCAGGATCTGGTTCCTCTCTCAACTTTAAATAAATTTTCACTTGCTGTGTAAAAGGAGACCATACAGATTATTTGAGCCATGCTCTGAAGTGAGCCATGCTGGGAATTCAACAACACAGGCAGAGCTGTCCTGTTCTGAAAGTGACTTAACAGGGCAGGGTAAGGTTGACTATGACTTATCAGGAATGGATGGCCTAGAATCAGGCACACAGTAAGTTCCATTTACCCTGCTGAGAAAGTTCAAAAGTCTTAGCCTAAATTCCAGCACTAGGTCCACAGTGCTAGGCCCAGATACAGTGATAGGTCCACAGTAGAAACTCAAATGAGTGAGTTTCAGCAAGACACATGAACTGCCACTGAATACCCAGAAAGGAGATTGGTGATGGTCTCAGTTATGGAACATCTGTCTCTATGCATTAAGACCCTGAACAATAGACAGGGACAACGTAAAGGGAAGACCCCTGCCCTAAGAGAAAGAGACTTGTACAACCAAGTACCCTATTAAAGCCCCATCTAATAGACTATGGTGTGGGTACAAGGTCTGCAACATGGGCATCTTGGACTTAGCTCTGAGACACAGGTTTATTTGGCAGTTGAGGGAGCAAGAAAAACGTAGCTTTAAGACTGGTGCACTGGCATTTAGGTCGGGGAGAGAGATAAGTGAACAAGCTGCATATGTGGAAAGCTATTATTCTGGAACCTACATCTATTGAGACCGGCCACAAACATGGACAGCCTTGAGACCAAAAGTGGATCCATCCAAATTGCAAGTAGTTTCAGCAGACCACAGATAGAGAGAACAAACCAGTGGTTACCAGTGAGGGGAGGGGCAGTGTGGGGGTGGGGGAGTGGAAGGTACAAACTCTTGGGTATAAGATGGGCTCAAGGATGTATTGTACAACACAGGGAACATAGGCAATATTTTGTAATAACTGTAAATTGGAAGTAACTTTAAAAATTGTATAAAAATAAAAAACTATATATAAAAAAAGAAAGTTGCTTCAGAGAACATGGAGGCAGGAGAAATGAGGTTCACTTCCTTTGCCCCCATCATTTCTTTTCAGTAAAAACAGGATTTTTTCTTATGGAACCTGGAAACTTGATTATAGAGTATTACACATTTTAGATTTTAGTATTTTGTAATAAAAGTGATGCCTTCCAAAACTCTGTTGTGATAGGGTAACCAAAATCCTTTCCTTGAAGACTCTGTCCCATCCAGTTTCTGACTCAACTTGCACTGGGCAGAAGGCCCCCATCCTACAAAACAGAAGGTTGGTAGGACTGGAAATGAGTCCTCTATGACACAGCTAATAACACCCACAATTTCATAATCCCATCTAGTGCAACAGCCACTCTGTCTTCCTACTCAGCATATATATCACTTTTCCCAGAGAAAAGGAGAAACAAAAAAAGCCCCAGTTACTGAACTTCTGTCATATGCCAAACACTGTGCTGGTGAAATTTAAATATTTTATTTAATCCTCCTGACAAAGCTATTCGGTACATGTTATAATATCTCTATTTTAAAAGTAGAGGAAACTGAAGCTCATAGATGTTAGATAAATTGGCTAAGGTAATAGCCAATGGACAGTTATTGAGAGCTTAGTATAATAAGCCCTCAGTGACTTTTCTAATCACTTTATGTGTATTAATCCATTTAATCCTTGGAATAAGCCTATGAAGTAGGTACTATTCTTGTACCCTACTCTATTAACAAGAAATCTAGGGAGTGCAAAAGTTAAATAATTTTCCCAAAGCCACCCAGTTAGTAGGTGACCAATTGGGAATTTTTGCTCTATCCATAGGTAGCCTGAGATGCTGCTCTAAACTCTTCTGTTGGAACTACAGTAAGGCTGACCCACTTATTCTGAACGTCACTAATTGTGAGGAAACCTCACGTTGCCATGATTTGCCGATCAAACTGAATCTTTCATGTGCACACCTGCAAAGATCAAGCCTAATTTGCCCCATGGCTTTGGTCTGAGGCTAGATCCCCATCTCCTCCTCCCAGTCTGCACTTTTTCTCCTGGACCACTGCAAAATACATGCCCGTACTACACCTGCAAGTTCATCTGACTTAAGTCACCCAACTAAACATCCTTATAAATGGTGTACAAAGAACTCTAATGAATGGATTTACTGATGCTATTCCCTGTCGCTGTCACTGCCCTTCAGTTTACCCATAAGCATATCTATATTCAAACTGTCAGGTCAAGAAGCATGTGTTGAGTATTTATTGTCCCTATCATCTTCATGTATCTTTCTGGAAACATTCTGGTTAGATTCACTAAGCATGTCTCTGAATGTTTACTTCATCCTTCCAGATAACTGAAGATGAGATGTAAGTCAAGGCTTCCGACTCCGTGTGTGGCCTCAAAACACACCTCAGTTCATTCCACTGATTCTAATGGTTCCAGGTGGGAGCATGTGGATATTTTACTGAAAATATATCACAGTTATTAAAAAACAAAACAAAACAAAACAAATACTCCTGTTGCAAGGCCAGAATGTCATCTCTACTCATGAAGTTCAACGCAGCTCATAATACACGAAGAATACATGGGCATCACGCTCAGCAAAAACCTCACAGGGCTTGGTATTATACCCACAGTGGGTTTCAAGAAATAAGCAAGAAGCAAACCCTGTTTAAAGGCACTGTGTTATGCCAGTAGGTTTCCATTACCTTCATGCAACGCTCGGCGGGCTAAAGCCTCAAATTCTTCAAAACTGTGGAGCAGGTAGCAGTGCTCCTCCTTTGGGGTGGAAGCCATGTCATTCAGTTCTCGAATGTTTCCTTGCCATATGCCAAAAGTGAAGATTTCCACTCCAAAATCTCGCAGCGATGCTGCAATGGGTCTTGGATCTCCCCCGTTGGAATATCCATCCGTAATGAGAAATATAACTTTTGTTGAGTTTTCTCTAGAATGACGAAGAATTTGCTGCAATGAAATAGGGCAAGTTAGTATGAGTATGTGTTGTGTTGGCCTACTCTGTGCCTACCTTATTAGGTAAGGGAGTGCTGGTGAAGATCATTAACATTTCACAAGAGTGAGGAATGGAACACTGATCAGTGAAGATAAAACACAAACAGGCACAGATGAGAGCCTACAATGGTCTTCTCAAAGAACCACAATAAACCTCAAAAGCATTTAAAATGTATCATCATCATCACCATCATCATCATCATCGCCATAGAGCCTGCTAATCGAGAGCAACAAATATTTATGGGGACTTCCCTGGCGGCCCAGTGTAAAGAATCCACCTTCCAATGCAGGGGATGCAGGTTCAATCCCTGGTCGGGGAATGAAGATCCCACAAGATGCGAGGCAACTAAGCCCGCACACCACAACTAGAGAAGCCTGCGCACCGCAGTGAAGAGCCCACGCGCCGTAACGAAGACCCAGCACAGCCAAAAAAAAAAAAAAAGTTTATGGAATGAATTTGTATTAATATTATCAATTATTGTTAAACTATTTCTATTGATTTTCAGGCTCAAAATATGGACCAAATCTGAGTCTTATGTATCTACTTCCTATCATATTTAGCTAGCTACCCACTTACCTACCTAGCTGAACCACCATGATCACACACTAAAAGCTGGACGAGAAGAAAATTTAACAGAACGTGTCTTTTCCAGAGTTAATAATGACTCACTTGCCTCCTCTATTTGTTTTTCCACTGCTCCTCCAAAATTGGAGAATTGATTCAACACTTCATCTTTTTTGGACCACCCAGTATTAGCACCAAATCAGCTGTTTTTTTGGTGGTGTCCTATCTTCATGAGAAAATACTGATTCACTCAATTTGACAATTGGGCTTTACTGTTTTAGGACAAGTGAGTTATCCTTTACAATGTTATATGCTGTTCCTTCTCTATAGATAAAAGGAAAAAGGTGAAACCTTTTTTTTTTTTTTAAAAAGTGTATATTCATTGCCACTGATGCTTTGTAACGTCATACTGTAAAGGCACAAGAGAACCAATGGTGAGTCTGGCTTATAAATAAATTTGCTGTTGTTGCTTTTCATCAGAAATGGATAGGAAAGGTAAAGAGGCACCAGGATATATTTTCTGGCAAGTTATTAGAAGGAATCCAATGTTTCTTAAGCAATGATTCAAGAAATACTACATTCAGAAGAGGAGCAACATTATAACCTACATTCTGTTAAAGTTAAAAGGAGATATTATGATTTTAAAAATAACTTTGCCTCAATTCATGTTAGGGGACAGGATCAGGATCAGCTATAAGACCCAGATTCTCTCATAAGATTCATGTCTGTAGAAAGCATATTTCATTAGTATATAATTAATAGGTATTTATTCTAATTCAATAATTCCTGCCAATTAGTTTCAGAGTTTGTGAGCTAAAGATAAAGCTGTTAAATCCGAATTTAAAGACAATTAAATTAAACTAAAATTTACTCTGGAAAGCCAGCAATTTGAGAAAAGGTATTCAAACACTTCATTCCACTTCTTCTAGAAAACCAAGTGAAATAAAGGAAAACAAACAGTGTGGAAGAACCGTACTGAAGACAGGAACGGAGGGCAGGTGTATGTGGCAGAATAACATGAGATACTAATGGCTCTTAAAGCTTAAAAAGCCGCCCTCTTGATGAATGACAAGAAGATCTGGGGTGAATACTTGGTACGTGTAAGATATTTCCTCACTCCAGACAAGAAAAGAACCTCTGAATGGCTATTGTCAAAAAGAACAGAAATAACTAATGCTGGTGATGATGTGGAGAAAAAGGAACCCTTTGTACACTGTTGGTGGGAATATAAATTGGTGCAGCCACTGTGGAGAACAGTATGGAGGTTGCTCAAAAATCTAAAAATAGCATTACCATATGACCCAGCAATCCCACTCCTGGGTGTATATATCTGAAGAAAACAAGAACACTAATTTGAAAAGATACCTGAACCCCAACGTTCACAGCAGCATTATTTACAAATGCCAAGATATGGAAGCAACCTAAGTGTCCATCAAAAGATGAATGGATAAAAAGGATGTGGTATTTATACACAATGGAATACTACTCGTCCATAAAAAAGAACGAAATTTTGCCATTTGCAGTAACATGGGTGGATTTGGAGGGCATTATGCTAAGTGAAATAAGTCAGACAGAGAAAGACAAATACTGTACGGTATCATTTATTATGTGGAATCTAAAATGTACAACAAACTAGTGAATATAACAAAAAAGAAGCAGACTCATAAATACAGAGAACAAACCAGTGGTTACCAGTGGGGAGAGAGAGGGGAGGGACAATATACGGGTGAGGGAGTGGGAAGTACAAACTATTGGGTGTAAGACAGGCTACGAGGATGTATTGTACAACAGGGGGAATACAGCCAATATTTTATAAGAACTGTGAATGGAGTGCAACCTTTAAAAATTGTATAAAAAATAAAAAAAATAATTTTAAAAAAGAACCTCTGAGGAGAGGGAGAGAAAGAGGAGTTAGGAGAGGAGATTTAGATGTTGCTGTGAGGCGCGGTGCTCTACACCAATCCCTCCACACCCCCCAACTCAGTCACCGTAGGAGCGATGACTGACATTCCTTTATAGGGATGGGTATAGGGATCCATGAGTCCTCTTTCCATGTGGATATCTGCGATAATGGTAAGTCCCACAGAAGTGCTGCTGGTCACAGTGACATGGGGCAATAGAATATAACTATGTGGGATGCTGAAGGGGTGAAGACCTGATGAGTCTTGTGTATTCCTGGAGAGGCTTAGGCGAGACAGTTGGTGCAATATCAAGACTCCTGGGGAGTTTTGCAATATTAAGGATGTGGAGAGGCTGACAGCACAGACCATGAGAGCTATGTCTCTCTCAGGCAATATCCACATGAAGAAATCCTGGAAGCCCCAGGAGATTACTGCACCAAGGGTGGCAAAGCTGACAAACCCATATGCAGACGACCAAGGATGATCATCGTGACCACTGATGAGAGAACTGAGACAATTCCAGATGATGGACATGCAGGGAGTGTCAGAGCTGAGAGGTGGACATCCACTCCCTTGCTGCAGCTTTGCAGAAGCTCCAAAGTTTAGACTCAACTAGAGGGAGAAACGGAAGAGGGAAACATTCCTGAATGTGGCTCCCGTTTTCAAAAGTGAAGCACTTGAGAAATTTCTGATTTTGAATTTGCTTGGAAGTACCTGGATGGAGTTTTCTCTCATCGGGTGGACTGGAGTCTCAAAATAGAAATGACAACTAGAAAAGTATATTAGAAAAATAAAGAATTTTAAAAAAATCTTAATCGGCAGAGAGTGAAATGTGTTCTTTTTTACAAACACAGCTTCTCTTACTGATGGAACCTTGTGATATCTCGGAAAACAGGTAGAATAAAGTCTTTTGGAACTCCGACAATCCCACCTTATTTAGAGGGAGGGGCAAAGGCTAGAGATGAAGGGCAGGTGGAGAGAGAAGGAGGTCACTTGATTCAACCTCTTTGCAACACAGCTCAAAGATATTCCGAGGTGACAAAGGCAAGGACAACTTCAGACAAAAACCTAGTCGTCTCCCCACATGTAACCTCCTTGAAGGCAGATATTTTTGTCTAGTTCTTCAATTCTTAATTCTCAAAGTTTAGCACAGCACTTGGGAAATAGTACACACTCAATAAATATTAGTCAATAAATAGCAGGCCATAATGCAGCCAGTGCTCAGGCCGAAAACCTTGGAGTCACCCTTATCTCTCTCTCTTCTTGTATACTGCTTTAGAAGGCCTCCCCTCCCCAAGTCTATTAAAATATTCTCATATTCTTTTCTCTAATACTTCTGTTTTTTAAAAAATTATTAAATCCATACATTTTTCTTTGATGTGAAATAGATACTCCCTTTACTTTTATCCAACTTCATAAGCAATTTTCTTCCCTGGTTAAAGTCTCTTCATTCTGTTTTATTGACTTACTTGCTGATTCATGGCCAATGCCACATAGTTTGGTTACTATACTGTCATATTATTTTTTTTCATATCTGGTAGGGAAACTCTAACATCCTTTTATTTTCTCTTTTAAAATGTTTGTAGTTAACCTTGAACATTCTCCTTTCCAATTGAGCTTGAGAGTCAGCTTATCAAATTCTTCATTAATTTTTTTTCTATCCAAACATTTGATCCAGCAATTCCACATCTAGAAATCTAGAGTGGATAAACTCTAGGATACACTGGAGAGAGTTGCTTGAGTACGTTGGTCTTAAGTGAGCAGTGGGAATATACAGAATGTGTGTGTGTGCTGTACGTTGTATAGTTTTGCACAAAAAAAGATAAAGTTTTCTTTTTGTGCCTTTATTGTCCTTTAGACATAAACAAATACCATCTTGGAATATTAATCTTCACTCCTGTCAATAACATTCCTTGACATCCAGGTTAGGATTTGCAGAGATTTCTGGTTGTACTACTCATTAGGTACAAAACACTTTAAGCTGTGATTCTATTTTTCTTCTCTTCTTGCAGAGAACTACTGAGTATTTACAGGAACCATTATATCTGTTGGCAAGACAATATATTAAGCTTAAAATAGTAAGAATAGCAGGACTAGTAGTCCAAGCAAAGAATTACACAAGATCTGGGTTTGGAATGCACTTTAAGGATAGAGCGGGGAATGGATGATTTACTGAAAATAATCTACCCCCCTCCCCCAATCTCTGTGCTTCATCATACTTGAATAAGAACATAATTCAATAAAAACAATTTTTTCATCCCACAGATCTAAGAAGTAAATAGAGCTGTGGTAATGTTGGTGGAATGTGGTAGAGGACCAACTCTTGATTCTCCGCTTACTGTTCCTGAAATAGTTTACATCATCTGCAATCCTTTGAAAGGTATTTAAGAAACAGAATTTTTTGGTCCAGAATACTGAATGAGGCAAACCCTTTGTGGCCAACAAAAAACTTGACATGAACTTTGTATAGCAAAAGGTTATCACCATCT